GTGATGTCGATGCTGCTGGTTATGGGACCAAGCTTCAAGAACATGTAAGGATGCTGGTGTCCTGAGCTTGATCCTAAAGTGGTACTGCCAACTGATGGCAGCTTTCAGGGGGTGCTGGAGAACAAACAGGAGCTGTAGCTTTGGGGCCAAAGCTGGCTGAGCTCTCTGGGTTCAACCTACATGCTTTATTGAGGATCTGTTCTGAGCCAGGTGTTGGGGAGGCACCACTGACCCTGTCAGTGCCCTGCCCGTAGCCTCTTGGCCTTATAACTTCATTGTACAAAGTAGCCTATCAGATGCCTGCACTTGCGTCTCTGTGCCTGAGGGCTTTCTCCAGCTGTTGGAACCTACCCTGCCTCCAAGCAGGGCAGCTGCAAGTGCCAGGAATTAAAGCTTCCCAGGAACGTCCTCAATCAATGACTATTAGCAGTTGGTGGATAAATACCCCAGCTCCCTCCCTGCTCAGGTGGGATAACTTGGAGCTGTGCTCTGCACCATCTCCCAGAGGTCTCCACGGGACCTGGCCTTAGGTGCCCACCGTGGTAACTGGCTGATAACACACCCCATATTGCTGCTCCCTCATCTGCCTCACCTCCCACTACCTGTGTTTTTGGGATCAACCCCCAAATAAACTACTTCCACTCAAATCCTTATTTCAAAATCTGCTTCTGGGGGAACCTAAACCAAGACACCATGAATAAGAAATGGTGTTTGTCCTTGATAAGTTCACGTATAAAGGTGCGGGAAGACATAAACTGGCTTGGTACAATTTGGAATTTCTGGGAATCACTGGTGAGTGTCAGGTCTCAGGGCAGAGGGAGGTGTTCTGCTGGTTGCCCTTTGCAGTACCATTAAGGACGCCTTGAGGAAGCACGTGAGCTGATACACTCAGCGGGAGGGCTGGTGACCCGGCCCAAAGGCCTTCGCTTCCACAGAGGGAGGCCTGAGTGTGCTACCCTCAGAAGACTGATTTGCTACACAAATTCCTCCTGCTTTCCACCTCCCCAAACAATCCTGAAATAGGAATATGGAGGTAGAGCTTGTGTCATATAAAATATGGTTCTTTTTTTTTTTTTTTGAGACAGAGTGTCACTCTTTTGCCCTGGCTAGAGTGAGTGCCGTGGCGTCAGCCTAGCTCACAGCAACCTGAAACTCCTGGGTTCAGGTGATCCTTCTGCCTCAGCCTCCCGAGTAGCTGGGACTACAGGCATGCGCCACCATGCCCGGCTAATTTTTTCTATATATTTTTAGTAGTCCGATTAATTTCTTTCTATTTTTAGTAGAGACGGGGTCTCGCTCTTGCTCAGGCTGGTTTCGAACTCCTGAGCTCAAACAATCCGCCCTCCTCGGCCTCCCAGAGTGCTAGGATTACAGGCGTGAGCCACCACGCCCGGCCCAAAATATGGTTCTTGCTCACACTTTTGGAGAGTGTCAGATGCCTGGAGAGGGCTTGCTAAGGGTCTCTGCTGGCCTGTTAGGACCAATGTGCTTTCCTAGGTGCTCAGCCCAGAGCCGTGAGATGCCTGCCTCACACCTGCAGTGTGGCAGGATTAATTCAACTCTTCCGTTGCCTTCGCTGTGCACCTTAGTTCCCACCCCAATCCTCCCACATTCTCCCCCCACCACCATCATCATCAGCCCTCCTAGGGTGCCCCCAAACACACATGCAATCCCAGTGAAAACACCGCGTGTGGCGAGAAAATATTCTTCAAGTCGGAGTTCCCAGCCCTCTAATCAGGCACTTCATGTACAGAAATTCTGGAATTGCCACTCAATGGACCCAACTGCTGCTTGCCCGGTCACCTTCACAGATCATTCTTAGGGGACAAGGCACCCAGGTTTTCTTTCCCCACATTCCAACTTGCGAAGAATGCAGCCTGCGGTACCAGAGCATTGTTTCAATAACATTATTAACCTTCGCAGCATTACCCAGGACTCAAAAAATCACTGGCTACAAACAGCCATCAGCTCTGCCTCTAGACAACAGGATCACGTCTGTGAAAGGGACCCAATTCAGAGACTCAGGATGGAGCTAAGAGATGAAAAGGGAAGCTTGGTTGTGCTTTGGAAGACCCGTAGCCTCAATGTCCACCTCCTATTTTACGCTCTCAAGGCCACAAAAATGGCTTTGACCTCATAGCTTCATTTTTGTGATTAATTAAATATTATATATGAGTGTATAAATCTAAAATGTGGGGGGAAATATATGCACTAAGATGTTCATGTCAGCGTTGTTTAGAATTGTGGGAAATTGGAAGTAATTTAAATGTCTAATAGAGGAATGATTAAATAAATTGCAGAGAATTCTTTTGTTGGAATATTAGGAGTCATTAATATAACGGTTATGAAGACTATGGGGTAACATAGAAGAATGTTAATGTTAAGCATAAATTTAAAGATCCGAGAATATAAAGCATTACAACTATGAAAACATTTGCCTGTGGAAAAATGCTCAACGTCATTAGTGATCAGGGAAATGCAAATTAAAAGCTGTATGTGATCACCAAAATGGCCGACATTAAAAAGAACAGCAAATATTCTTCAAGTTGGAGCAAAGATGTGGAGCAACTGGAACTCTCATGTAATGTAAAATGGTATAATCTAACCCGAATCAGAAACAACCCAAATGTCCATGAACAGGCGAATAGATAAATTCTTGAATATTCTTATAATGGAATATTAATCAGTAATAAAAAGGAACAAACTATTGATACATACACGATAATATGATAAACCTCAAAAACCTTATGTTGGCCAGGTGTGGTGGCTCACACCTGTAATCCTAGCACTTTGGGAGGCTGAGACGGGAGGATTGCTTGAGGCCAGGAGTTTAAGACCAGCCTGAGCAAGAGTGAGACCCCACCTCTACAAAAAATAGAAAAATTAGCTGGGTGTGATGGTGGCACATGCCTGTAGTCCCAGCTACTCAGGAGGGTGAGGCAGGAGGATCACTTGAGCCCAGGAGTTTGTAGCCTGGGTGACAGAGCGAGATTCTGTAATTACGCTGAGCAACTGAGGCCAGAGATGGTAAAGTACACACATGATTCTATTTGTATGAAGTTCTGGAACAGGCAAAACTGATCTGAGGCTACAGAAATAAGTCCAGTGATTGGCTGGAGCTGGGTATGGGGGAACAGGCTAAAAGGGCCCAGAGCGACTTTGTGGGGTGAAGGAAATACTCTAGGTCTCTAGCATGGTGGTGGTTACTCGAGTGTATGCACTTGTCAAAATGCATCAACCTGTACACTTAAATGTGTGAATTTTAAAGCATGTAAATTATACCTAAATAAAGGTGAATATATACACATATATGTATGTGTGGTGTGTATATATATATGATATATAATATTAATACACATACACACATACATACACGCACATATTGCTTGCCTAGGGGAAAAAGCTAGAAGGAAATACACTAAAATGCAAAAAAGTGGTTGTGTTTCATACATGAGATTATAGCAGTTTTTTTCCGCTTCCTAGATTCACCAAAATTTCACCTATGTGATTCTATTTTTTATATAATAGAATGACAAATGTTCTTTTCTAAAAATTACAAGCTGCTGAAAACAAGCACTTATGGTGGTCTACAACATACTGGATTTTAACACGTTTGTGTGATGAAGTCTACGGATTTTTTTCCCTGTATGTCCACCAATTGAAGTTTTCAAGCCAGGCTCAATTCTCTTGCCTCTTACTAAGTCAACCATAATGTTCTTGCCCAAAACAAATGCTGTCTTATATCATCCACCATCTTTTCAGACATTGTTGCTCTTTAAACAGATCATGTGCTCATCGGGGGCTGGGATAATATCTTTATTCTTTGTATTCCTGATAGCACCCAGCACAGAAAAAGCACAGAAATTAGGAGAAAATGGATCTGAGATGGCACAGAGCCACTATGTACAGTGGCACAGGGTGTTCACCGCACAGACCCCAAACAGTGATACAAATGGCTTCCCTGCTCTGTGGATGGTGACTTCTGGAATTGTGCAGAGTCCTTGGTCAAAGTTCCTGTTCCAACACTTCCTAGTTTTGTGACCTTTAGGAAGTTATCTCCTGAGCCTCAGTTTTCATATCTATGTAATAGGGTTGTTGGCATGATTAAAATGAGATGACGTGTGTTCAAAGGCCTCTGAAAGCTATAAAACATTCTACCACGTTAGATGTAATGTTTCACATAATAAATCTAGCCCCTGCCTTCCTTTCTGATCTCTTCACCCCTTGTTCATTACTACTACTTCCTCACCAGCTTCACTCAGTTTCCTGAAATCGTCAAACACATTCCTGCCTCAGGGCCTTTGCACATGCTGTTCCCTCTACCTAGAAGACTTTTATTCCCGCATCTTCCCACAGCTGGTTCCTTCTGGTGATTTCAATTTCATCTCCAATGTCACTTGAGGCTTTAACTACCTAAAATAGCCTCCTCTTCGCTATCACTTTCCATCCCTCACTCTGTTTTATTAGCACTACTTCAAATGATCTTGCTGGCTTAATGCTGATTTTCCACCCCCATCCCAAATCTCCTTGTGCACAGGTTTATGTCTGTTTTGTCCACTGCTGTATCTCCAGCCCCTGGAGCACAGTAGGTGCTCAAAAATCATTTACTGAATGAATGAACAAATACTTATTGACAACTAGGCCACACGTTGTATGTATTCAGTTCAGCCCACCAATTATTTTGCAAAAATGAGAGACCATAAAGCAAACGCTACTTGTTCCCACCCCAGTGGCTGAAGGAATCTGCCCAAGATGTGTGTAGCGGCCACAGGTCTGAACACTTGCCACTGCTGGTCAGGCTCCAAGTCAGCCACTGTGTTGCCAGGATGCGGGGAATAGGAGGGCATTGTGCTGCCTGCAAAGAAGGATGCGTCCAGAACACCTCGGAAAAGTGTTTCATCCGACTGGACACACCTCTCCTAGCCAGGTGCTTTGTTCCTTTCTCATTTCCCCCTTCTTTTCCCCACTGTGAGCAAGGAAATCAGACCAATCTGCCTTACATTTGTTCCTTGTAGCTTTCAGCGTGGGGCTTCTTTAAAGTTCTGGTACCGGTGTGAGCCCTGCCAATGCCACAGTGGAATTTTCTAACCCATGCCAAAGATGGAGCTCATTAATTTTCGTGCCTGAAAGAAAGAAAACACGTCTTTAGGAATTGGCGTGTTTATCTCTCTGCCGAAGGAGGGTGAGGCCTCCCTGTAAGGAAGATTAATTTAGGTTTGTATTTGTAGGTGGGTCACTCAGGGAAACACCAGCACACTGCAAAGTGCACTGCCTATCTCGGTGGCCGCCTGCTGCCCGTGGGTGACTTGGGCAGAGGCAGGAAAGCACCCTCTTTCTCCCCAAGGTGCCCACCCAGTACATTTCCAGAAAGTTCTTCTGCCCTGTCTCTTTCCTCCTCTTCTGAAATGTCCGCGGTTCCTGGAGGGGGTCATACCCAAGTGTGGCTTTGCAAGCTGGGAAACAGGCTGGGTCAATTCCTCAGTGCCTGGATCTGATGCTACCAGGTAAATAGCCGGAATCTTTTTACACGGTGGCAGGCAAGCGATTTAAAACATTCTTTTATATTAAAACAAGCAACGTATCTTTATAAATAGAAACTAATGTAGTAGGGAAAAAATTTTAAATGTCACATCAGGGGGTTGGAACTTCAAGTAATTTTTTTACATTTTTCTTGATATCTTCTTGGTATTATCTACATTATGTATTCATATGTATTACTCCTATGTCATAAAAATAACAATGAACCTATTTCCATTTTGAGAAAACCTGCTTACGTGCATATATTTTGGAGAAGAATACAAAAATCACATGGGTGTTTAACATAAACCTCCATGCCTTTCTTGGAGGACACACCTATCTTCCGCATCCACCTTCGCTCTTCCCTGCCATTAGAGGCAGTTCGGTAAAAATGTTTGAGAGGCATGGCATGGTAAGTCAGTAAAACTTTAGTGTGAATTAGTCTGAGGTCATCTCTCTCTCATATATACACTGCCCCCACCAGATGGCACCTAGAACTCCGTGAGAATCTGTAGACTCACAATGGAATGACACTGGAAGGAACAATGAACATTGCCTAAATTAAACCAGCTAACCAAATTCTGCCCAGGCCGGGAGTTTTCTAACCACACTGACCATCGGCAGAGTACCGATGGGGCTGCAGGCTATGTTCTCACTTCTCCAAATCTAATTTTTCTGCAGTGCGCATTCAGATCAGAGGCTGGGACGGCTGTGCTGAGCTGAGACAGTCTGCTTGATCTATTAGCTGGCTGAAGGGCCTGCTAGGCCAAAAGCCGAAAGCTGAGCTCAATCGCCCTAGCGAGCCCTTTCTGAATTTTATTTTACTTTCTTTTTTTTCCCCCTCTGGTTTAAGGACCTTCTTCAAAACTCTCACTCATGATTTAAAAATAAAGAAAAAAGAGCTGATTAACAGAATTTGATAAGAGCCACACGATGATGAAGTGGTCGGGGAAGAAAGGTTTAAGGAGCTGCAGTTTTTAAGTCTGGAGGCAAGAACCCGAAGGAAGGAATCCAATAATGATGTTTAAGTACCAGGCACTCGCTAATCAACTGACGCGCACTTCGTGAATGCTTAGCGGGGCCCCAGCATTGAGCCTTAGCTCTGCCCTAAAGCCACGGAGACTTTAACAAATAAGTACACAGTGGAGAAGTGATTTAAGATAGACAGAAGAAAGGACTTCCTGAAGCTAAAAGCAGCTCATTGCAGAAATGAAATCACAGGGAATTTCGAAGGAAAAAAGTATGATTCAGGCCTTTTATAAGCTTTTACAGTTATTGAAGAGTCATGATTCCTGTATACAGAATCTACCGGTGAATTTTGGTGCCCGGTTGTGTCCAGGTGGCCTCCAATGGGAGCTGGCGGGGCAGGGGACAAGGTGGGACTATGTATCCAGAGGTTCTGCAAGGTAGCAGTTCTGTGGGCTTTTCAAGGGCAGAGAATAACCAAGTTCAATCCAGCTTTGCACACACCCCCACCCCACCGATGGGATCGCGATGGTGCCTGGCAGACTTGGTGCCAATTACAGAGTAAATGACCAAAGGCAGCACCTGAAAGATGAGAGGGTGAGAATGGCACTCTAGGCTGGGGGAGAGGTGTGCTTTGGGCAGAGGCACGGGTGGGCACAGAGGGAAGAGGTGGAGCTTGGCAATTGGAGGGGGGCACTGGGATATGGGGGTCCACAAAAGTCTAGCAGAACAAAAGAGACTTGATGTGGTGCCGACCCTTTTAGGCTCCTGAGCGGGCGGCAGGACAGGATAGGAGTAGTGGAGTGTGCTTAAGGTGAGCAGGATGGATTGCAACGAGAAAGAGGCGGGAAAGACAGATTTGTCCTTCTCAGTTTCCGTACTCCACTTGACCCTGCGAATTTACCGTGGAGCACGAACCACAGGCTGAACGCCAGTCTGTTGAATTATGATTGCCTCCCCATAGACACTAGACTATGAATTCGCTGAGGGTCCTATTTGTCTTGTTCTCTGTTGAGTTCTTAGCAGCTAGTGTAGACTGTAGCATGCAGAGTGCTCCACAAATGCTTACTGAATGAATGAATGAAGTAAACCAGAAATAGGGGATGAAGCTCTGGACAACAGGTCCTGAGCTTCATCTCTTCTCAATCTCAGAGAAGAGCCTAACTAGCTAAGCTGGTTAAGGATGCTTTCTGCTCAGGGGTGGGAAAGCAGAGTCCCATTGTGTCTTCCAACCCAACGGCTCTCAGATTTTGTCCCAAGATGCCCAGTATGAGGCATCTACCCATGCCAGGCTGACCTCAGGGCCATGAAATGTTTCTCCTGACTGGTACTCTCCAACTGAGATGGAGGGTTGTGATTCCAGAATTCCCAGGACATCATGGCCAGACAGCACTGCTGGACAGTGTCTTTGGTTCAATTAAAATATTTTTGTTTTTTTTTTTTAGACAAAGTCTCACTCTTTTGCCCGGGCTAGAGTGCCATGGCGTCAGCCTAGCTCACAGCAACCTCAAACTCCTGGGCTCAAGCAATCCTCCTGCCTCAGCCTCCCGAGTAGCTGGGACTACAGGCATGCGCCACCATGCCCGGCTAATTTTTTCTATATATTTTTAGTTGTCCGATTAATCTCTGTCTATTTTTAGTAGAGACAGGGTCTCGCTCTTGCTCAGGCTGGTTTCGAACTCCTGAGCTCAAACAATCCACCCGCCTCGGCCTCCCAGAGAGCTAGGATTACAGGCATGAGCCACCGCGCCCGGCCAATTAAAACATTTTTGACACCTTACCAAGAGATCACTATTATCCAAGCCAAGAGCTCAAGGGGAGATACTTGGAGTCCTGAAAGGACGGTAGAAAGCAGAAGGGTTTTGTTAACTCATGTAGGGTCTGTTATACCTGCACATTTCTCCCTTGGCATTTCTGGAAGAAGCAGAGACATGTATCCTGGAAGGACGCCATTTTCAGAATCTTCAAGGCTTATTTAACCTTGTTATTTACAAGTGTGAAGCCCTGGGCAAGCTACTGCACTTCTCTGAAACTCGGCTCCTCACCTGTAAACTAAGGTTAATAATAGTAATAATCTTACTTCCCTCTCGTGGTTGTAGTTAAAGATCATTTGCAAAGCACTTTAGAAAAAAAAAAGTGCCAGACAAACATCATTCATCTATTATTTTGTTTGTATTTGTTTTCTTGTGGGATTCACAGCCCCTGGGTCATCCGTTGTCATTTTTGCAAAAGGCTCCTATCTCTAAGCTCATTTTTAACGTCACCCACATAACAAAACAAATATTCTTACCCAAGTTATCTTTTACAACCCCCAAAATTCGTAACTTGGATATACACTTACATGTATTTTCTTTTTGTAACTTTTATTTTCCTTTTGACAGTTACTATAGTCTATAGAGATTTTTCTTTAAGTGTATAACAACATTACTCTGGTTTTGGGTAACACTATTGCAGAATTTAAATTGTCTGGGATGTCACATAGGTCCTCTGATCTAGATTTTTTGAAAGTATGTGATATATGTGGTGACTATGGAATGGAAGGCTCTCCATTCTGTCTCAAAACTTTTAAACTCTAAATTTGTGTTTAAAGGAACTCAAAGGGCCCTACACCCATTCGTTCATTTGTTCATTCATTAAAGAAACAGCTATGAGTTTTGGAGCAGACGCTGTTGGTGCCCTGTCCACATCCCTTCTGCCATCCCTGTGTGCGTCAACAGCTTGTGATTGCAAAGACCGGCAAGCTTCTTCCTGAGTGCTTTTTCTGGGGTATGTAGAGTGAACATACCAGGGAGCAGCCTTCAGGAGCAGCCTTCAACCAGTGATAGCTAGGGATTGGCGAAAAAGTACTCTGGCTTCCTTGCTTCCCAGTTTGGATAACTCTGAGGCATACTAAAATACCAAGCTGTCTCCCAGGGTTCCTCAATGGGGTTGGGGGGTTATGAAGTTACTACCGTGGTGACTTCACTGACTGCCTTCCCTTCCCCGCTCCCCTATTGGTGATTCCTGGAATCACCTTCCAAATAAACTGCCTTCACTCAAATCTTTTCCTCCAAGTCTGGGGCTGCTTCTGGGGAGATCCAACCTAAGGCAAGTTCTTACAAGAATCAAGGCATTGGGCCAAGTGTTCATAACGATGCATTGGACAGAGCTACTGACCCAAGGAGTCCACAGTTCAGACAGGGAGATGAGATGTGCAGAATATGCGTAACATTTAAACATCCTGCTTGGTCCCCACACACACACACCCAACTCTGGTCCAGGTGACTATTATATTCAGTGGTGTGGTAGAGCCAGTCTGCTTATGAGAGATGATTGTTAGATCTTTAGGAATTTTTCGAGCAGTTCATTAAACACAGTCATTATTAAAAATTATATTAACTTACAATGAAATGGATTATATTAAAAACAAAGGTAACAAATACTAAAAATCACTTCCTAATTATTTCACTTCATTTTACTATTATGGATGCTCTTGAGACTATGTCTATATCGCATCTACATGGTAAAGTTAGATAGTATATAGTGGTGTGCTGCTGCAAATTTCTTTCCATCTTTGCCTTCAGTGATTCAATAGCTTGAAATCAGTCTGCTCTGATGGAGTATTTACACCACAGAAATTGGCGAATGCTAGAAATCAGGGAGTGCCCCCACCCCCACCCCCACCTCTGAGGGCCAGTTGTTAAATACTTACCAGCATAACATCAACCATGTCTTGCCTGGAATCTTGTAGTTGCCTCCTAACTTGGGCCCCAGAATCCTCTGTTACACTGTCCAATCTATTCTGCGTGTGGCTGCTAAAGGGATCTTTGAAAATGCAGGTCAGATTGTGTTACTCCCCTGCTTAAAGCTCCCACCTCTCCTTGGCTTCCCATTATGTCCTCATGCCTCCCTGGTCAGGGCCCTTCCTGCCTGGGGACCCCATGCCTTTCTCTCCTTTCCTCTCATGAGCTCCAGCCACACAGCCTTCTTTCTGTTCTCTGAACCAGCTGCTAAGCTCCTCCCTAGCCCAGGACGTTTGCACCTACCCTTCCTCTTCTGAGTCAAGAGCAGCTTTATCTCATTGTTTAAGTCTCAACTCCACTGTCACCTCTTCAGAGTGGCTTCCTCTCACCATCTTCTCATCCACTGCACTCCCCATCTCCAAATCCCCGTCCTTCTCCATCACATGAGCTTGTTCTCTTTTCCTTGTAATCCCTGGCACCACTTGAATTCATCTTGCTTGTTTGCTGGTTGATTTGTTCACTGTCTCTTTCTCCACTAGAGTGTGAGTTCCGTGAAAGAAGACCCTTGGCCTTGTTTGTGGTGGTCTCCCCAGCACCCAGAACAGTGACTGCTGCACCGTGGGTACTCAGCTAGAGTCATCTGTTGGATGAATGGATGCACATTGCTTCTACCTTCTCCCATGCCCTTCATTTCTCAGCCCTCCACAACGTAGCGGCCACCTTACTGCCCACCCCCTCCTCTAGAGCTGTTTCCCCAAGGTCCCTGGTGATTCCTGAGTTGCCATGTTTAACACACACCCCAGTCTTTATTTTGCTGGGTTTCAGGGCTACATTTAACAGCGCTGCCCATTCCCTATTGTTGAAACTCTCTTCCCTCCCTGAGCCCATCGTCTCCTGATTCAACTTTTCCATCTCCTCTTCTTGGACTCAGCAGTAGAATGTATCACTGATGCCATTTCTTTACCCTTGCCCATATTTCCCTGCCCCTTGAATCTGGGCTCACCTATACAAATACATCGTGTGTATTTCTGCTTGTTTTCTTTGGCTTCATCCATCGCCTTGAGCAAGGAATGCCTCCTCTAGCTCACTGATCCCAGTAAGACGGGGTGAGCCAAGTGGGGCAGAGCTTCTACGATGCCCCAGCCAAAGCCAGGCCAGGGGGGTTCCCCTCACCACCCCCCCCACCAAGAGACCTATAAGTGAGCTGGCCAAGATGAGCCAAGCCCCACAGATGTGTGAGCTCCAATAAGAAACCACACTTCTTTTAAGCCACTGAGTTTGGGAGTGGTTTGTTACACAGGAAAAGCTGATTGATACAGACTCTTTTGTGGGTTTTCCTTTCTCTGCCCAGGACTCAAGCATTGGCTTTCTCCTGTTCCCTCCGTGTGCAGCTCCCAGCTCTATGCACCGTGTGTGATCATTGCTGTCCTTGGGGTTTGAACTTCAACTGGTATGCTTAGGTTTCCTAACTATATCACTGACCTTGACATCAACCCTTGAGCTTCAGACCCATAGGAACAATATCTCCACCTGGACTTTCCTCAGGGTCCTTGACTTCAACATGTCAAAACAAACACAACATCCCTCCCAATTCCTGTGTCCCACCTGCTCATTCTTCTGTGCATCCTGCCCCAGTAGTGACACCACCATGCTCCCTGTCACTCAGGCCAGAAACGAGGGCTCAAAGGTGGCCCCCTCTCTCTTTCACACCTGGTGGTCACCAGGCCTCACTAAACACCGCTCATGGCGGACTTGTGCACCTCCTGCCCCCACCACTGCCCCGTTCAAGCCGTCCTCACATCTCACCTGAGCTTTTGCGATGGATGGTCTCCCTGACATAGCTGAGCATCACAGTCACCCAAAAGAGAGAGTGAAGGGAGTGATCATGGCTGTCTGTCACTTATCACAAACCCTTCCCTGAGTTTCCACCACCAGAGGGGTAGCCTTCCTTCCTGCAGGTACAGCACACCTTCCAAGACCTGGCACTGAATGCAGCAGTTGTGCGCAGGGACCCTGGGGCCAAACGCTCGTCCTCTGACTAGCCCCGTGACAGCGGGCAGGTTACTCAACTTCTCTGTGCTTCGGTTTCCTCATCTCCAAAACAGAGACAATAACTATACCTCCCTTATAGGGTTGTTCTGGAGGTTAAATAACCTTACATATTTGTAGGGCATCTCAAACGATACCTGACACGTGGTAAGACCCAAACATGTTCTATATTGCTGCAGGGACTTTTTTTTCCATGTGACATTTTATTCTGTTTGTCGTTTGTCATCCCTTCATAGTTGTTGACAAAGCAAAACCTCTTTTGAAACTGTAAGATATTTTCATCTTTCTGCCTACTCTTTTAAAACATTTGCAATTAGTAATAGAAAGCAAAGCACTGTCATGAGTTAATGGACCATACTAGGTAATTATTCTTGTATGTTTAATTTTTTCCAATAAAATGCTTTACTTGTTTTTAATACACAACTAAAACCTACTATGTCCTTTTTTTTGAGTCCAGTTGATGGAAGTATAATTTGCTTCCAAACCAAATTCACCCTCTTTAAGAGTGTACAATTTGACGAGTTTTAGCACAGCCATGTAACCACCACTATAATCAAGATATGGAATATTTACATCACCCCGAGAATAAAACATTCCCTCGTTTTCCAATCACCTTTGGAGACTCATGTCCTCCTGCCCTCTCCTTCACCATTCAGGCTTTGGCAACAGCTCCTAGTTTTCCCTCTTGCATCTCGTGATCTCAGATTATCATGTCTTTCTTTGCCCACACTGTTCCTCACCAGGTGCACCCTTTTTGGCCTGGCCTCTTCCCACTTCTCCTTCCAGCCTCTGCCGTCGCCCTCTGCTCCCCTCAGTCTGGATGACTCCCCTGCCTGGGGGGGCTCCCAGATGATTGCTTAGGGCTTCTCTCTTTCTGACCACACCACTGACTTTGTGTTGAAATGACCTGTTCACACCTGAGGGCCCCTCACTGGATGGCCCTTGGGGGATGGCAGGGACCTGTTTCCTACGCTCTGGCCTGGGCAGCCGGGCACTGAGCAGACCAAACCCCGAGGCTGGACTGTGGGCTGGGCTCTTTGCCGCACTGCTGGAAGGCTGCATGATTTAGCAGATCTGGGCCTGTGGTGAAGGCCTGACCTGGGGGATGCAATGCCTCTCACTCCTCTGACAGGTATCCTCCGTCCATCCAGTCCTGGGGGTGGTTCTGGTTTTTCCAGATCCGCCTTGGGTGAGCTGCAGAGGCTGCACAGGGCTAAGGCTGGGGGTGTCAGCAGCAGTAGCAGTGGCTATGAGAGCCAGGCCACCACCAGCCCTGACAGAGCCTGGGGCAGGGGCGTCGATGTCTCTGCTCAAAGTTGCATGAGGGTGACAAGGCTGGGGAGTGGGAGTCTCCTAGCACACTGAGGGGCAGGGCCCAGGGAAAGGTGAAGGCTCAAACCAAGCTTCTCTTCCAGCCTGGAACACATGTTGTGCTGAGGCCAAACCCAGTGTTGAATTATGGGAGGGAACAGACAGGGAGCCCCTTTTTTGCAAACTCGCCTCACGCCTAGGGACTTTGTAATTTAATCATCCATGCAACAGTATCTACAGAGCACGTATTTCCTGAGCCTCTAGTCTGTGCGGGCGCTGGCTCACAGCGCAGAAGACAAGGCTGGGGCCCCGACATACCCTCTGGGCACTCACCATTCCGCCAAGGGCTTCTTGCTGCAAGGCTTTCTCTGGCCGACGGGGCGTGGGGGCTAAAGTTCCCCCACAAGGAGCCCTCACTCAATGAGGACTGGGAGTGGGTGGACAAATAACCATGTCCTTGCCCCTCAGGTGGGACATCTCTGGGGTGTGTTCCACCCAGTGTCCCAGCACGCCCAGTGACATTGAGCCCTGGTTGCCCACAGTAGTCATTTGCTTAATATTGTGCTCCTTCCCACCCCACTTTTCCACCAGTTTCCTAGGATCATCCCCCAGATGGATTACTTGAACCAAACCCTCCTGCCAGGATCTGCTTCTGGGAAAACTAAAACAAAGACCAATAGCGAACAAGCTAAAGGAGGTCCCTGCCCCCGGACAGGCCCTGGAGGGCAACTGGGTCTATGTATCACTCTAGACCGCTTGCCCAGCCTGGCAGTGTCCACCGGGCTCTCAACAAACACCAGGGAATGAATGAATGAATGAATACTTTCCTCCCTAAAACCCAGACAAGGAAGTGATTGTCCTAGGGAGTATACCCATGTTCAGAGAGGTTAAATGGCTTACCTGTGGTCAGGCTGGACTAGTTGGTAGCAACTGCCAGCCAGTAAGCTGGGATTCTTGACTTTTACTTCAAGCTGGGGCTCACTGCTGAAAAATGACTGAGTGTTGAAAGCTAATCCAGGTTAATTCCTGCTGATTAATCATTAATGTGCTAAGAAACCGATGAGATTAAAAATAGGAATGAACGGTTTAATTTCAACCCAATCCCTCTTTATTCCCTCATGAAGGCTAGTATTTTTCACATCTTTCTAACAACTACGGTACCAATGACACATGGGGGTTGGGGGTTGGAAATTGTCCAAGAAATAGATATCGGGCACAGGATTCTGCAGCCACGGGGGCCAGGGAAGTGCTGTGGGGCAGATTAGGCAGCTACAGCCCTTTTGGCCTCTCAGAAATCTTAATTTACAAAGAAGCTGGTTTTGATTCACGTTCAAAGGGTTAGCTTTAAGAGGTACAAATGGTTAAAAACCAAGGCTAAAATTATTTTAATTGAAAGACTTATTTGACCATGAAGAGAGAGGGTTGGCTAATATTGGGGGAAAGGTCATGTAATGAGGAAGTATCAGTTGTTCAGTTTTCTGGGAAATAGGTGAGTTTTCCTTGGTCAGAACCCCTCACCTTCCCCATTACACAGAATAAAATGCCATAAGGTGGACTGTGATTATTGCTCTGCCGGCTGCGGTTTGGACAATTATCTCAAACAGACTGTGCCTCAGTTGTACCCTCCCTAACAATGGGTGCAATGACATCCACTTCAACTCCTTGTGCACCTTCTGGCTTTTCCACCCTAATCCCTCCATTTACTCACAGAAATTCTTTCCAGTGCCGATCGCAATCTCTTTGAAGATAAGAACTTGCCCTGCCTGGGCAGACAGCACAACTTGTCCTCACACTCAGGGGCCTGAGGGCGTGCTGCTTCTCGGGAAGTTAGTTGGGTTTAAATAAAGCAGTTTCCTTGTTTGTTCAAGGATTGAGCAACCCTGCTAAGGGTGACATCCGCTGCTATCTCAGCCCCATGGTATCCAGAGGAGCAGGCCCGGGGCCGGGATTCGAACCTTCTCCTTGCTGCCTGGCCAGAGGTAGCCCCATGTCAGCGACTGCTGGGAGCTCCGCGGCCCAGAGTGGGAGGAGCCGGCGGCGACCTCCCCCGTGGGCGGGGCGTTCCTGCCCTGTCCCGCCCCCGCGCCGAGCCGAGCGCCGCGCCGCTCAGTCCCGCCCCTCCCAGGACCCGCCCCCCACGGCTCCCCGCAGCTCCTCCCCTCTCCCATTGGCCGAGGTGGAGACCCTCCTCTCGGCCCAATGGCTGCCGCCGCGGCTCGGCCGCCCGCGTCCTGACTGGCCAGCAACCGGTAGAGTGGCGGGGCGAGGGCCAATGGGGAGAGGCGGCTAGATGAATGGCTGGCCCGGGTGGGGAAGGCAGGAGGCGGCGATCCCGGCGGAGGGGGCCGTTCGCCAGCTCGGAGGCAGAAAGTGCCACGACTCCACACGCGCGCACGCAGCCAGCGAGCGGCCGGAGCGGACGGCAGACGGGGCGGGCGGCGTCGGGGTCGCGGTGCCTGCAGCTGCTCGGGGGCGGCTTCTCAGTGGAGGCTCGGCAGGCTCCTCTCTCCCGGTTCCGCGGCGGCGGCGAAGGCGGCGGCTCCTGCCTTCTCGCTCTCCCTCTCGCGTCTCCGGCTGCAGGTAAGAAACTTGGCCGGGCCCTGCAGCGGCGGCGGCGCGCGGGCCGGGCCGTCGGGGGACCGGGGCCCGCCGCACCGAGAGTGACACGTCTCCTTGGCAGCCCCTCCCCCGGCGGCGCCGGCCCGCCCGCCGCCCGCCGTCGCCGGGGCCGCGGACCCTCGGGGTCGGGCTTAGGGGGGTTGCTGGGCGACCCTCCTGCAGGGGCGTCGGCCGTGCGCGCCCCGCGGTGTGGACACCACGTCCCTAGCCGTGTGGGACCTGAGGCGGTCCCGAGGCGCGACGTGGCGACCCCTCCCCCCCGCTGGGCCGTCGGGCTGGCCCGCGCGCTCCGAAGTTGGGCGAAGAAAGTTGGCCGCGGCGCGGGGCGGCGCACAGCTGGCGGAGGAAGGGGTTAAGTTTCGGGAAGCCGCCGGATGACGTTGCCGGGCTGGAGTCCGGGCCGGAGGGGTGGGGGGGCGGCGGAAGGCGGCGGAGGCCGGCCGTGGGGGAGGAGGGCGGGATTGAATGGGGGGCCCACTGGCCGAGCGCGCCCGCCTCCCGGCCGCAGCCTTGTGGCGCTTCAGGAGGTTGGGGTGGCCTCCGACGGGGCGAGCCGGGGCCGCTGAGCTCGCGGTGTGGGGATCCGGGGGGGCTGTCCAGGCCACGGGCGTCCGGTCGGCCGCGGTGGCAACTTCCCGGAGTGCGGGAGGTGGCTCCCTGCTCCCCCTGGCGGTGGGGCCGGGGGCACCGTTTCCCCGGCGGCGCCGCGCGGAGCCCTGCGCGAGGGCGCCTGGCTGGGGACAGGGGCACCCCGGGCCCTGCCTGGCCCGCCCCGCCCGCAGCCACGATGAATGGGCCGGCGGTGCCAGGCCCGGGCGGAAGCGGACACCTCCGGCCCGGCCGGCCAAGTGCTCTGGCGCCCGGCCTGGCAGCCGCCACGGCCCGCCAGGCTGCCTGGCTGCGCCCTGGGTAGGGGAGGGCGGCTGGGGCCAGCGCTTCCAGAAGGACGTCAAGGATGCTTCGGGAACCTCTCTCTGGATTATAAATCACAAGTTTTGGCCCTGGCACCGTTGAGGGTGACCCCGCCAAGTTGTTTCGTTGGGGGTCTCCATTTCCTCGTCTGAAAATCGGGGCTCCTGATCTCTTCTACTTGAGAGAAAACCTGTGGAGACCCAGCACATGTAGGAAGTATGGACAAGCATTGGCCGTGCCTGTTGGGATGCGTTTTCGGAGACGTGCGGGACATGGAGGAAGCTGGGCCCTGGCTCAGCTTCCTTGCGGCTGGTGCGGGGCTACAGATGTCGCAAAGCCGGGATTCCAGATTCTAGGCCAGGCTTACTGGCCCACCTCACCTCTCAGTTCCCTTAGCCCCTCTGAACCCCGGTTTCCTTGTCTGTAGCCTGCAGACAATACCACCCACACACGATGGGGTCAGGGGAGCCATGCAGGGAAGTGCTGAGAACTTGTACGGAGGCAATTTGGCAATAACTCCGGGAGGTCAAAGGTTAGAAGAGACTGGGAAGCACCAAGGAAATGAAACTTTGAAGGCTCTGGGGAGCCTCCCATGTTACTATTTGCTCATCTATACACTCAGCTTGCTAGAACGTTCGGGGTAGGGGCCTCTGAGTGGCATTTTCTGGGAATTTTGGGGAAATAGGTCCAATAGGGCCTCACATACCAGGCTAGATAGCTCTTTAGAACCGGTTGTCTGCAGAGACCCATGTCTTCTGTCCAGCACTCCGAGGAAGAACAACTGCAAATTTTACAGCAGCCCTATCCTATGCAGTCTGGGAGAATTCTCTGCTATCTCTGCCTACCTCCTTGTTTGTCTTAACTTCCTGTTAATCTCACACCCAGCGAAATCTGGGTGATCCTGCAGCATGCTGCTTATTGTGTTGATGTCTTAATTCCTTTATGAACTTTCCAAAGGTCAGTCCCACTATGGTCTGCCAACCTATTTCCCTTCCAGAAAGAAGCTTCCGGTTCTGAGGTCCTGGAGATGCCACTTCCCTCTCTATTTAAGCAAAGGCGGGGGCAGACTTCCTAGTAGGTTAACTTCTCCCTTTACATGGAGCACTGCAAAGCTGGCTTGCAGGGCTGCTGGGCCAGTTGAGGCCTGGAGGAGGCTAAGATTAGGGGGCAAGGGGACAAGAAAGGTATCTTGGGGTTTGGAAGCAGAGGGTTTCCAGTGGATAAAGCTGTAGGCACTATGTTATAACTGAACTCTTTTCTTTCATATTTAGGAATCAGCCTCTGAACATTTACAGAGATATTAAGAAGTTATAGTGGTACCATGGCATATGAATATTTTTTGGTGATGGGAGAGTTTTAAATAAATCCTAAATCAAGTCACATTTTAGCAATTATGTTCTTTGCTGAAATGAGCCCTAACTCAACTGGCTGCAGTAATTATATAGTGCCAAACTCAGTTTAAATGGTTGAATGCAAATGATTGAATTGGAATATTGGTTTATTATGTAGCAGGGACACCTTTCGAAAGTGTCAGGACCCCAGACTCTTCTTACTTGTTCTTTTACCCCTGGAAATTTAAATAATAAATGAATGGCACATATAAGCAGAGAGTCAGCAGTTCTTTTGAGACATCAGATTTTTTCTTTGTTAAAATCTTGTTTCAGGAGGAAAAAAAAATGGTCAGAATTGTGATGGCAGGGACTGTGCTATCCATCTGTACATCATCGACCTACAATGATAGGCCTGGCCTGTAACATAACAAATATTGATTAAATGAGGTAGACAACCATACCTGCTAAAATATTCTCAATAGTTATCCAGCTATCTCATTGGATAAATGAAGCTGAGCCCAACTTAATTTTTAAGGTGTACCTTTTAGAATCAGATTCCACAACTTGGACATACATTTAGGCATCACGACAACCCCATTCTATAGTGTAGGTATGGTTGCCTCCCTTTTGGTGAATGATGACGTGAAGGCCTAGGAGGTCAGGAGTTTGTCAGAACAGTTCCTATTGCCCAGCTGCTAAGCAGTGTGGGCTTAGCCGTCTGAATGTTCACCTTCTGGGCCTTATAACTCCACCTTCCTTGGTTCTGTATCTTCTGAGGGAGGATGTAGAACTAGAAGATCAGAATTAAAGGCTTCAGTGGCAGGAAGGTGGGGAGTCATTTGAAAATGTGGCAGTGAGAGAAGGTATTTTTCATTTCCTTTTTTCATCAAGTGTCTCCTTGTGTGCTGGGCCTTCAAACACTGTAAATACAAATGAGACACCAAGTTCTTATCTGAAGAAGCCATTGTCTAGAACTGTGTCCAATATGGCAGCCACATGTAGCAGTTTAAATTGAAAACAATTAAAATTAAATAAAATGAAAAATCCAGTTTCCTAGTCACATTAGCCACATTTCAAGTACTCAGTAGTCACACATTGGTCAGTGTGGATTTAGATTATTTCCATCATCACAGAACATTCTGTTGGATAGTGCTGGTCTAGAGGTAATTGGTATTCTCTAAACATTCAAGTCTCTTTTCCTCTTGATTATGTAGAAATATTATGTTGAGCCATATAAAATTGCCCATTCTTAGGTCAAAGACAGTTGACTAGTTGTAGTTAATATATTTCAATCTAATAAGATATTACCTTTAGAAATCGTTAGTCCCAACTCTTTGTGTGTATCATAAGCTGCATTCCAAGAAGAAGGGGTTGAGGCAGCACAGATAGTGGCCCTGCCCTGGAGGATTTAAAGCCAATACCCACAGCATCAAAATGGTCAAATGTACCAAAATATTGAAAATAAATAGTTACTAGACAGAAAGTATATGGCTTGTAAGGAAGGTAAATATTGAATTCTAAGTGAGAGGGCCTGGGCAAGGGGGGGCCACTTAGTGTTATAGAAAATTAACTCAGGGACCTCCTAGGAGACTATTTTCTGGGGCAAACAGATTCTCCTGAAATAGGCAACCAGACTTCCAAGTCTAAAAACCAGACACATCTGTGTTTCCTTTATGTGCCTTAAGTAGCATGTATCTCCTACCTCTCTAGCAATGGGCAGCAACTTTAATTTACAAAGGACGCTTTGTAATTTCTAAATTAGATTATTTTGACAAGACTAGAATACCTGCCCAGTCCCCAAACCTTGCAAGTTCAAAAATACTGGAGTTCCAATATACTTGGCTGTCATAAATTGTTTTCTAGGCAAGTGACGATTTGCAAGGCTCTGTTATTTATACTCCATATAACTTTTAAGAGATCATTGGGTAGTATTTGAGAAGCATTTTCGAATTCTTAGTTGGACTCATGGGCTCATCTTAGTATTAGGACTCTGTGTAGAATAACATAAAACCAAAGTTTAAATAAAGAACCGGAATCATGGACGGCTACTTGATCTCTTTTTGGTTAGAAAGGAGGCCCACTGAGATGCTGGAAGTTATCAGCTATTTATAGTGATAATGAATATCATCTACTGACTCAAAAGTTGGAATAAAAGACCATCTTGAATTCAAGCCTTTAATTCTATACACTAACCCTGGGCAAGGTATAAATAAACAGGGTCTGTGTTAGGCTGTCTTGAGACAAGCTCAAAAGTGGTACCCTACAAGGACTGAATTTGGCCTGCACATGAGATTTGTTTGGCTAACCCCATGTTATTAAATAATTGAGCCACCTTTTAAGAATGGAGAATTTTTTTCATTAAAATCTAGATTTGTGGGTTCTCTTGGGAAAAATGGGAATTTCTGGCCACATCAGTTCTCGTGGACTGTGGTTGCCCTCTCTGGGCAGGGCCTGTGCTGTCATTCACAGCATCCTACCCTAATTTACACGATGTGCTTGGGTATTGGCAATCCCTGAGGGGACTGGAGGGCATCCGGGTGCTACTGGACTGGTCACCGGCGTCTCCCACTGAGGCGCAGCCTGGGGCAGTGGCAGAAGCACTGGTTGGGGGTTCCAATCCCAGAAAAAGTGGTGTGGCTTTGGACATGATTTTTTTCTTCCCTGGGCTTCAGTTTTCTCCTCATGTAAAATGAAACTAGGCCAGCTAGCTCCATCTTT